TAGGTAAACTCTCACAAAAGAAGACCTACGAAATCATAAACGACCTATTCCTCACTCAAGTAATTACTTCTGCCACTCGTGGTAAAAATATTCTGGACTTGGTTTTGACTTCTACGCCTGACTTAGTTACTAATCTGTCCTTGAGTGCGGGTTTCTTACATTCCGACCATCTCAGTATATCCTTCAGTATCTCTATCAAACCTACATGCTTCAGAGCCACGCCAAAAGAAGTTTTAAACTTTAAAAAAGCAGACATGGATGAACTGAGGAAAACCCTGTCCTATATACCTTGGCATGTTGCTATGTTAGACGATGACATAAACATGAACGTAATTAAGTGGGAGGACCTTTTCTGGGCAGCAGTGAATGAATTTGTTCCTCGCAAAAGGGTCAGGGACAAGCAGACACCCCCCTGGATAGACTCTGAAGTAAAGGCACTGCGTTGAAAAAAGGACAAGGCCAGTCGAAGAGCATTGAAATAAAAAAAAACCAAGACCATATCGACAATTTTAAATCTCTTAGAAGAAACGTAAAGAAACTGATCCCCAAAAAGTACACTGACTACCTCAATAACCTTGCTGATTCTGTTGAAAAGGAACCCAAGAAGTTCTGGAGCTTTTATAGCACTAAAACAAAATCTAGAAAACTTCCACTGGCTATAAAGAGAAACAAAGACGACAAAAACCCAGTCACGTCATCCTTTGGTAAAGCAAATCTCTTTAATGAATATTTCCACTTAGTTTATAATCATGTTCATGCTGAACCTCCACCACCGGGGTCTCACCCTGTTTTACCTATTCATGAGATTTCAACTGTGACTGTTTCTGTTTCTGAGGTAAAATCCATCTTCGAAAACCTGGACCCATCAAAAAGTCCTGGACCAGATGGCATAACTGCCAGACTCTTGAAAGAGTTTTCTTCTGAAGTAAGTGACTCGGTTACATCAATGTTCAACCAGTCATTAACAAGTGGTGTTTTCCGAGAGAAATGGAAAGATTTAAATCTCACCCCTGTTTTTAAATCTTGTCAAAAAGATGTAGTTACCAATTATAAAGGTATCTCACCTTTGTCCATTATGTCAAAAGGACTTGAAAGATGTGTCCATACCCACATTTACAGCCATGTCGACGACCTTCTTCGCCCAGAACAACATGCTTTCAGAAAACATAAATCTTGCGTCACCCAACTTGTTGAATATATTCACTCACTGGCAAGAACACTTGACTCGGGTGATCAAACTGATGTCATATACCTGGACATGGCAAAAGCTTTTGACCGGGTACCACATGAGAAACTTATGTATAAACTCGATTGCTTGGTTTTCGAAATCCATTATTAGCATGGATCAAAGACTATCTTACAAATAGGCGTCATAGAACCCTCATCGAAGGCATTGCGTCAGACTGGAAGCCAGTTACTTCCGGAGTTCCTCAGGGATCTATCATTGGCCCCATTCTATTTCTTGTATATGTAAATGACATTGCGGAAAACCTTTCTACTGGTACCAGTCTTCCCCTCTATGCAGATGATGCAAAGTGTGCCAGAGTGATTAACGACCTTAATGATTGTTACACCCTCCAAAACGATCTGTCAGCTCTACATGATTGGAGTAAACTATGGGAAATGAACTTTAATTCACAGAAATGTAAACAGCTCTGTATAACAAGGAAGAAAAAACCAATCCACAATATCTATCATCTTGGTA